TTATTAATGTAAGCTTAACTTTGGTTGTGAGGTTTGGTTCTGAATAGATTTGTCTTATTAACTCCATCTTTTTCGCTCTTTCTTCTTCTCTTACATCTTGGAGTTTGGGGGTGGAACATCAAATTATCAAAGTCACTTTTCCAGCTTCCCTTCTTTCCACTTTCACTCACGTTTACTCCATTTATAAATTCATCTGAGTTCTTATCTTTGTTTTCTGTATTTTCATTCACTTCCTTAATATCTGGGGCTATAACCCCATCATCTTTTTTTGTAATATCTCATAGTCTGTCCCATTTCTTGTAAAATCTCTCAAATCCTTCTGAGATGCTCTGCCTGGACCAGCACCAGCATGCAATTTTTTTGACAAAAAACGGGCTGTCTTTTGCTCGTTTGGGGGGGGCACCCCCTAGGAGCACTCTGCAATCTCCTAAAGGCTTTTCATTCCTTTTTTTGGGGTGGGGGGGACAAGACTTTGCAAAAAAATGGTCTGTTTTGGGGAGGTTTGCAGAGTGCAAAACTTTTTTTTAATTTGCCTCTTCAAAACCTTGGTGCATCTTATACTCCAGTGCGTCTTACTCCAAAAAATCGGTAGCTTTAAAAATGTTAATTGTTTGTAATTAATCTTTATTACTGTTTGTAAATTCCCCATAGTTGTCTTATAGATTAGAGGAATAGCATCTAAAATAAAGATTTTATAAAATAATGCATACTGTATAATTAATGAATATACAGCATGTATGTGTGTGTATAACTATTATATATGTACATTGTATATTCATTCATATATTCTGTATGTGTGTATACAAAGCAGAACCTGAAAAATGAGAAACATCTGCTAGTCTCATCTTAAATTTTAAAGGAGAAATAATTGAACAACTTGCAAAAAGTGACCTTTGTAAACTAGTGAACATATTCATTAGATTTACATTTTGGGACAAGTTTAAAGTGATATAACCAGACCTGCTTTAATGACATTAAAGTTAGTCTGATTACTACATGCATTAGTTTTTGGTAATTTTAATTTGAATGCTACTTTGTTAAGAATGTTTATAGGTAGGCTTAGTAGTGAACCATGCAATGAAAGACAAATAATAAGGAACTAACCATTCCTGTGATTAATCCATGCTCTAAGAAACTATTTATATCTTATGTTCCAGTTGCTTTATAAACAGCATGTTTATCCCTGTCACTCATTACAGTGGATTATCTTAAAATGGATTGTGGTGACTGTAATTCTATTCTGCCCAAAGGAGATCTCTTGGGATAAATAACAAGTTCAGGTATATCTGTGGCCTCAGAATAAAAACTATCTAAGCAGAATATTGAACTTCAATTTGTAATATTCTATTCATCATCAAATTCTTCAATATCCCTCTTTTTTTACACATTGGCTCTTTCTCAGTTATTTCTTTAAAAAATAAAATGGCTGCCAAGAAGAGAAGAAATTTATCTTACAAAAAGGTAGTCATATATTAATTGGAAATTCTAGTTTGTACTGCAAGATATATTGTAAACGATACTTTGAAAATATTGAGGTGTAATTCTTTGTATTATTTTCTAGGCTGTAAGAAGTCAGAAGTTTCTTGAACAAAGTATCCACTCTGCTCAGGAGATTGACAAAACCCTCCAATTAATTCAAGAGTCCCTGGCCTTCATTGATCAACAATTAACAGGATTTATTACAGACCGGACTGATGCAGCACATGTACCTCAAGAAGCACAGGTAAGGCATATAACATGTAATTGCATTAAATAGTTCTATCTTTCAAGGAGTCAGTAAGATTTATTTTATTAGATTGTTCTAAACTTACAATGATTCTAGAATTATCATTGATCTAATTCTTACAAAATTTCTAGCTGGCAAATGAAAGAAGAACTGCATAAAATAAAAGAGATCACATATATTTTAAAGTACAATGATCTTTTATGTTTATCTTTCCTGATACTAATGCAACATTATTTTATCACACCAAATTTAAAGTTTGCAAATGTTTACATTGTAAAATTAAAGCAGCAAAATTAATATTATAATTTTTGAAGTGCTAATTTTATCATGCCATAAGTTACTCATTGTGATTAGTATTTTCAATTAAATTATATTTACATCCCAAGTGAATTCTTATTGAATTACATACAGATACTTGCATTTAATTAGCTGTTAAAACCTGGCTGTTCCGGCAGGCCTGGGGTTGTTGACCTTAGTGTTAAGGTCCAGCCCTGATTAGAACATATGTGTGTTGTGAATATTAAATTATTCTTTTATTTTGCTTTTCTTTTTTCTTCTTTTGTTGTAAGCCACCCATAGTCCTCCGGGATTGGGCGGCCTATAAATTTATGAAATGAAATGAATTATTCGGACAATTTTATGCATATTGTCTTATATAAAAGAGCAGAGTTATATAGATAGATGAAAGCCAATTTTATGTTGTAGTTAAGGCATCAGACTAGAAATCATGAGACCATAGTCCTGCCTTATATTCAAAGCCAGCTCAGTGACCTTGGGTTAGTCTTTTTTTCTCAGCTACTGTATGTATGTATGTTCGTGTGTGTTCTCATGTGTGTGTGTGTGCGTTTCCCATTCAATTATTTTGATTCTTGGAGACTTGCAGGACAAATCCCTGAAGTTTTCTTGACCAGTTTTTTTCAGAGGTTTGGCCAAGAAACTGGCCAATATTTATTTGTTAGTTTGTTTATTAAATTTGTATGTCTCACATTTCACCAAGAGGTGATTCTAGGTGGCTTACAACTAATTAAACAAGATAAAACAATAAATATTAATAAATATTAATGTTAAAATTTACTTAAAATTAACAAAGATGGCAAGAAAGAGAGCAAGATGTACATGGGGTGAAAGTGAATTATCTTAGTCCATTAACCATCTCAGTATGACATGCCCTCATAGGGCCCCCAGGCCAATGGCAGAGTCAAGTTTTCAAGGCTTTTTGGAAGGCCAAAATGGTGAGTGTGAATCTCACTTGACATTCCAAAGAGCAGGAGCCACAACTCTTTCTCTGGAATTCCTTTACCCCGGGGACTAGAGCAGTGATGGCTAACCTTTTTTCCATCATGTGCCAAAATGGGGGGAGTGCAGGGGGTTGTGCACGGGCGTGCCCAGACCCATAATTCTATGTGTACGAACACCTCCAAGAACCCCCCCTCCAGCTGTTGGCGTGCAATGGACCCATTTTTCACCCTCCCAGGCTCCAGAGGCTTTCTAGAAGCCTGGGGAGGGTGAAAGCAGACTCCCCTGCACCCACCCCCCCAGAGGAACTCCAGAGGCTTCAGGAGGCTTCCAGAGGGTGAAAAACAGCCTAAAATGAGGGCCAAAGTCAGCTGGCCAACGTGCACAGGGCAATGCCTCACGTACCCTAACAAATGACTCCATGTGCCACCTGTGGCACATGTGCCATAGGTTCGCCATCATGAGTCTAGAGCATGCACGGTTGGGCCAGGCCAATCCCATAGGAATGAGATGGTTCATCAGGTAATCTGGACCCATGCCACAAAGGGCTTTAAAGGTAATAACCAACACCTTGAATTGGACTTGGAAGCAAACTGGTTGGGTATGTCTGGGGCAGTTCAACCCCATCCAGAACTAAAGATGTGAATATCCCTGATCCTGAATCTCATGCACCAAAAGCCACTCAGTCTTACTGTAATAGTATTGGCTTTACTTTTTGACATCTCATCCAACTATACATTATATAGAACAAAGACAAATCATCCTTTAATATTTTAATGTAAAATATTATTTCCATTTTATGAAGAAACATAATAAAACAACAGAAAACTAGAAATATCATATATCACAAAAATTGAACTTGAATTATCTTTTTCTTAATACTTTGAAGGGATTACTACAAATAATATAATTATTTTTGTAACTCTAGTATATGTCAGGCCTGCAGCCAGTTCCTTTTAGGATCTTTGGCCTGCCACACTATTATTCTATTCTACTATGCTGTTTCATTAGTGGGGAATTGGGAGGGGGAATAGTAAGGAGTAGAATGTGTTGTTGTTAAAATAAAATTCCTTTCTAGAAGACATCTTTTGTCTCTATACCTCTGTGCCTGACCGGAACTGGATGGGACATTCCTCTATCCTAGTGCTCCTTGACCTCTCAGCGGCCTTCGATTCCATCGACCATGGTATCCTTCTGCGACGGCTGGAGGAGGTGGGAGTGGGAGGCACCGTTCTATGGTGGTTCTCCTCTTACCTCTCCGACAGGTCACAGTTGGAGATGGTTGAATTGAGGAAGTATATCAACACCAATTTGAAATGGGGTTTTATTGAACCAGTGAAGTCTCTGCAGAGAAAAGAAAAATGGCAGTGTTAGTCTCTGTATTGATTTGCGAGCCTTGAATGTGGTATGCATTGAAGAACACCTATTCCCTTCCCCTCATGAAAGACATGTTGAACCACTTGGCTAAAGGCAAGATCTTCACCAAGCTGGACTTGAGAGAGGAGTATTACCGTATATGAATCAGAGAGGGAGATGAGTGGAAGACCGCTTTTAACACCCCCCTTTCAATACAAAGTCAGCTTTCAATACAAAGTCATGCCATTTAGGCTACAAAGAGCACCTGCAGTCTTCATGTATATAAATGAGGTGCTACATGAGCACCTGTACCATGGAGTACTCATTTATCTTGATGACATCTTGATCTTCTCTGAAAACCCTGGAAGAACACATGAAGCTGGTATGGCAAGTCCAGAAAAAACTTCTAGCTGCCAAGCTATACGCAAAGTTGTTGAAGTGTGAGTTCCACAAGCCCTCACTAGACTACCTGGATTATTGCAACTCCAATGAGGGGATAGAAATGGATCCAGGAAAAGTGAAAGCTGTGTTAGACTGGAAACTTCCAAGTACTCGCAGACAACTACAAAGCTTCCTTGGATTTGCCTAATTTCTACAGACAGTTCATTCCAACTTTTGCAGAAATTGCCCTTTCATTGACTGAGCTAATAAAAACAAGGCCTTCCCCAACAAAGCCAAAAGCAAACCAACCCCTAAAGTGGACAATGGACTGTCAAAAAGGCTTTGAGAAGTTAAAATGGTTCTTTGTCCAAGAGCCCATACTGCAACACCCCGAGCCAGAGTGACCATTCATAATCCAGACAGATGCCAGTGATGTAGTGATAGCTGCGGTGCTACTGCAGAAGAATAAAGAAGGCCACATCTTGCCATGCACTTACATCTCCAAAAAATTCACCACTACTGAAAGGAGGTGGGCCATTTGGGAGAAAGAAGCATTGGCGATCAGGTGGTGCCTGCTCATGTGGAGACATCTCCTGGAAGGGGGGAGGATATGATGTTCAAGGTCTGGACTGATTATAAAAACCTCAAAGCTCTCAAAGCCCATCAAAGGCTACCCACAAAACAAGTTTGCTGGGCCCAATACTTCCAAAGGTTTCAATTCAAACTTATACACATCCCTGCAGGGAAGAACTTATTGGTGGATGCTTTGTCAAGAAAACCGCAGTACAACAGTAAGAAGGAAGAAGCCAAGGTGGTGCAGTGGTTAAATGCAGCACTGCAGGCTACTGCTAGATCAGCAGTTCAGCGGTTCAAATCTCACCGGCTCAGGGTTGACT